TTTTAAAAAATAATAATGGCAGTGCCGTCAACAAGCAAGTGTAAATATTTGTTGAATTAAATTATTGAATTAAATGATACTGAAGATTATAGACCTTTGGAAAGGCATTTTAACTTGCTAAATTTCTAATCATTTTCCCATTCGCTATTAGAAAAATGAGAACCAGGGAATAAATTGCTAATAAACTATTCACTCATTAAAACTGACCCCTAAGGAATCCCTCAGTGTCTCTATTTAACAAAGGTGTCATAAAATTTAAGGAGTAAGGAGACAACAGCCGAGGATCCCAAAAGAGCTCAGCTCCAAATATATTCTGACCTTGGATGAGTCCTCTATCCTGTGCTTCCCTCAATTTATTTACCCTTAGAATGGGAACAGGAGAGGCAGTGATGAGTGATTGCTAATAAAAGCGTATTTGCCTCTGGCAGAAATACAAATGCTTGTTACTAAAGATCATTTTCCAGACCCCCAGTTTACATTTCTCTATCAACGTTCCAGTGCCCAGGATCCAGGTTCCCAAGATACTACAGGTTTTGGTCTCCAACTAAAAGACTGAGCTAGGACTGGGGGAATCACTGGAGCCAACTCATGAAGTGGCAGCAGACTCCCCGACCCCCATTGCACAGGTCCACACCTCATTTCATTTTTCACCGGGATGACACCCAATCTTTGTGATAAAAATGAGCCCAAGGACACCACCCCAAAGAACTTGTTTCTCTTGGACCCACCAAAGAATAAAATGTTCTCAAAGCCCGCTCCTAAGATAAACACCCTTCCCCACATGCCCCTTTTAAATGGCTGGTTAACTGTCCCTTGGGTGTGACTGCACAGCTTTATCCCGGGTGTGTAATGGAGTTGGAAGAATCTTCCTGATTTCTCAGTACCCTAATATGAAAGACAGCGGTGTACAGTGCGGGCTGAAACTATGTTTAAGCCCTGATGTGACCCTAGCACTTCGCAAAAAAAAAAATGTATGTTCTGCTTGGGAAGGCTGGTCTGTGGTCACTGTGATTCCTCCCAGTCAGCTCTGTAAGACTGGCCGCTGGAGGTCACGGAGAGAGCCTACAGAACCCTTCTGCCAGAGGAGAGAAAAAGAATTAAACTATAGGTTTTAGTGAAATCACTAAAACTCATGCAGGGGCCATAGGTTGTAAAATGTACAAATACCTATATTCACCTCCCCCCAAATGTGCGTGTACAAGTCCTAGGGTAATTCTAGGTTATAAGTATCGGTGATTATAATAAGTTATAAGTAATTATGCACAGTACTTAGGTTTCTCAGTATCATCTTATGAAAACTCTTAGGGTAAATTGTTACATCCTTGTTTTTGTGAAGCAAGTTACTCATTTTTTCCAAACACCCCTCAAATTTAGAAACTCTGCCTATTTCTAAAGATCAAACTGAAAGAGAGATCCCTCAAAAGGAACCGTGCCGCTACCTCTGCAATCTATTCCGTCCTGAGAAGCCAGTTCAAGGGACTCTTCCACCAAGAAACATTAATCACAACCAGAAAAATAAAACAATGCACCTGAGAGTTACACAATATTTATGATATCATAAACTGCAAGTCGTTTTTGGCCTTCAATCACTGTCAACGTTCTAATGTTTATGAGAGATCATCACTGGCTTCTAAGTGGCAATACAGTTCCATTCTGAGTGAGGATTACTGTTACCAGATTTTAAAGTGAGAACAACATGTCATAAACTAAATTCATTCTAAACACGTTCCATAACCTCCTCAACAGTCTGAATAACAAACTTTTTTTCCAAATGGAGGCTCTCTTTGGGCTTGGTTTTTAAATTTTATTTTAAATTTAATGACAAATGTTCCTTTAGTTTGGCTTTAAGAGAAGGATTCCTTTACTCAATATCTATTATGTGATGCAGGAGATCTATTAGGAAACTTATATCAATCTGGAGAGTGCTTCCGAAAACTAAAATTACTATATTTTAATAAGAAAGGGCCTGTTCAAATAAACAAGTGTTTTTGAAGATGAGTAGTCCGTCAAGGTTACGGTGTCTAATAATAAATTACTGTTAAGTGATTATCTACCAGATGAGAAATGTTTCCATTTCTCAGTTTACTTGAATATACATGCTCTTCTGCCCGAGATCAGGATCATAAACTGACATTAGGATTTTGCTAAATCTGAACGACATGGTTTGCCTAATTATGTAGAGGCTTTTTAAACGCTGTAGCTTTTTTCCCACCACAATTTCATGTATTTACTGGGTAGGGTGGTCACTTTATTATCTTAGTTTTCATTATTTTAGCTGGTCACTTCTGTTAGTTATATAAATCTTAAAACAGTAAACCAAAGGATGAGATAGTTCAGTAACTTTAATTCCAATTTATGCCTTTCACTTGATTTGAACATTTTATGCATTGGTTCCACCAAAAGTGCTAAATATTTATCTCTATCCAGAAAAAAAAAAATATATATATATATAGTTTCATTATGAATGCCAGCAACTTATTGCTGTTTTTTTAATTAATAAAAAAAAGATTAAGTTCATCCAATTTAAGATTTGTGATCCTGAACATAACTGTTAAAAGCAACAAAAATGCTTTGAAAGCATGGTATTTGCAAAACCTTTGAGAAGTCGCTAATGGTATTCCCATGATCTAATACATGTAAGGCTTTAACTGTAATCGTAAACCCACTGAAAGCTTACGATCTGAAAGGATGGACTATTGTAGCCAGTTTTTATGGGTTTAATTGCATGGGCAAATCCCAGTTTCTATATTTTAAATCTCAACTAGAGCAAAATCACAACACATTTTCAAAAGAACAACCTAGAGAAATCAAGCATGGGAACAATAAGGCAAGAACGCCAGTGCCAACAACCACCCTCTCCCACAAACCATCAAAGAACTTCAAAAGCACAGGACTGAGCAAAACTTTCAGTTCGTGAAATATGTGCGATTCACTTTTAACACTCACAAAAGTACATATGAATCACTGTATTTTCCTCCGATTTATGTCCCACACAAGGTTCAATAAAACACAAAACTTACTCAGCCTCGACTGATGACTGGATCGTTGTTTTTGGAGGCTATTTATTACTCTTTTTCAGGCATGATTTCTATGACCCAATTCTGTGACTTCTAAAAGCCAGGAAAAGCTGCCTTCAAGTCAATGCATGGCACAAAGTCACTAAAAAGTTTGCAGGCATCAGGCTATGCCTAGGTGCTTAGGAGAAGCTGTTCTGCTTTGTCCTAGAGACCTCCAGGTATGCAGTGTCTTTTCAGGGTGCGAGAGATTTACGATTAAAACGGATCCTCTCTTTTTCCTCTAAGGGATTTGAGTTCTCATGGCCAATGATTATTTATGCTCAAAACAAGAATCAGCCTAGTTCCCCGCTCCAAGATCTATGTAGACAACTCATCCCAGGTTTAACGCATGGCAGACATACAAATGTAAAAACATCAAACATATCTATCTTGTTTTTAAAATTTCTTCTTCGTATCTTGTTTCGTATATTTCTTGGCTTTTAAAATGCAGTATCACAAGTCTTGTTCTGGGCTACCAGGCCTAATTCCACCTTACAGACAAAATTTATTTTACAAAGGAGTAAATGGTGTAATACTCATTTTATTACCAAATACATGTAGGAACAAGTTGGTTGTAAAAGAACTTTACTGTATGTATTTACACACGTATTTACTGATTGTCCTAGAGAGCCTATCAATGGAATCAACAGAAAATGCAGTATTCCAAGCACAGTGTACTAGCAGCTCTTGGCCTGAACGTTCCAAAAATATCTTTCAAAACCACTGCTATCTCTTCACTTTACTTTTTCAATGTAAGTACTATTAAATTCATTTATTTCATGCCACCCATGCAACAAATATACCCTCAAAGGGTCTTTCGGTTTGGAAATACTAAATTTTTACCTTCAGTTGAAAGCAGGATCAATAACTTTTTTGATAAAAATTGCTTCAATTTTTTTTTTTTTTTTTTTTTTTTTTTTTTTTTTTTCCCCCCTTGGG